TATATATATATATAAAATACAAAATAAACAGTTAATCATTTTATATAAAATGGTGTTTGCATTATATAATCATTAATAAAATTCTTACGATATTTAAATTAGATAATTAGAAAACAATTTTATTAAAAAAGTAATATAATAGATTTTAAAATAAAAGACAGTCATACTTTACAAGCAACTCGATGAGGACAAAGTTTTCCAAATCCTAAAGGAGGGGATATTTTCCGTAATAATGTTACAACATCCAAATGTTTTATTCTCCCTCTAAAATGATTTGAAAATAAATAAAATGAAATTTATTCATCATTTTATAATTATTTTTTAAAATTATAACAGTTAATTTTCAAAAATATTATTTGTTTTTAAAAATATAACAATTTTTCTCTATCTTTGACTGTATCACTTAAAAACAACAAATCTTTTCACATCAGGTACTTTTGAGGTTATTTTGCTTTTATTTTCAGAACTGTTGATTATTTATTTATTAAAAGCAAAATAATTTAAGAAAATACAATTTGTATAAATAAATAAAAATGAAATATGTTTTAAAATAAGTGTTTTTTTATAATTTAGACACAACTGGTCCAACGAAAAGAATTTCTCCATCATCCTTAGTAAACAGGATGCACAAACCACCTGCACATCCCTTTTGAAATGAAAGAAAATGAGTTTCATCAAATCCTAAAAATTTTAGAAATAAGTATATTCTATTATAAAGTGATATAGTAGAACTTGGTTCTTTGAATTAACTTGGAATTTATATATTTCTTGGAAAGATAAACAGATTAAAACAAACATTCAAGGTAGAAACTTAAATGTTTGTTTATTTATAAACAATATCTATCTCGCACCCACAGAACTGATTTCTATTAGCAAAAAATTCTACTAAAATATTAGTTGTTTTTTTTTGTACCTTGAAAATGGACTAGAAAATCCAAAAGTACCATCAGAATGGCTTCATATGCTCAAGATGATCATGTAGAAAAGTCTCAGACAGTTTCTTCACCTATTATTTTTTGACAGTATCCAGCTGCTTCCCCATTTTTTTTTTTTATCTGGCCAAATCATATCTTATCCCTATGAAAGATATGATTTGGCCCCATGAAAATGGTTTCGGAGTGCATGGCAACTTACACCATTGAATAGCCAATTACCAATTATCTATACTCTCATGTATTTGTTTTTAGCTGATGCATAGCAGAAGCAAGGATACAAGCTTTATGAAATATTTTTGTCTATATCCTGTATATTTTAATAAATTGTAAACATTAACCCTGAATACTGTTTGTATTGCCACGCCATTTTGTTTATGTGGTTTTCATGCTATTATTGGACCTTGTAACCATATTTTGATTTACTTGTGTGTTGAGGCATTTCGGGCGCCCATGGAACCCATGGTCACTTCCTTCCTCTCTCCTATCTATCTAACTTCCTCTTGCTGCTTATCATCTTACCTTCGAACCTTCTTTCTGTTTCCTATCTAAACGAGCTAAGTCAGTCAGCTAAAAGACTGACAGCTCTCTCACCCTCTTTTACAAATTACAAATAATATGAGAACATTCTCATATGTATATTTATATATAAGTAAACAAACAAATAAATATTTTAAAAAATCATTCAACAAAATAACGAACTCACTTTGCATCAGGATCATATTCTGACCATAAGCGAACAAATTCATCAAGATGGTGAGGACCTAATATTGACCAATCACGGGTTAAATAATCAAAATTATCCATAATGACAGCAACGAAAAGGTTAATTACCTATAACAAAAATTATTCAATTTATATTTGTTAAAATAATTTGATATTACATTCTCACAATTTAATGATGTTCAAAACTTACCAAAAAAGAACAAAGAATATAAAATGAAATAAAATAAGGAAGTGCAAATTCTGAACCACATGGTTCTGTATCTTCAGATCTGCTATCACATTTAGCATTTTGTTTATTGGTACAAGCCATCATTATTTCTTGCCAGGCTTCACCTGTTGCAGATCTATCAAAATATATTTTCTATTAAGGAATTATTATTAATGTAAAAAGATTATTAGTCTAATAGATTTTATCCAAATTTTATTAATATTGCAAATATCCATATCAAGGAATGAAGCAGAAGATAAAATCCAAAAATAGTTTTTGAATAACACAAAAGTGACCTCATTTTTTAAACTTGCCAAAGATTAAACATATTAGAAAAACATTCTTGGCCTATTAATAGTTTGAAAATGTTTGTATAAACTATGTTAAATTTTTCATTGCTTTGAAAATAAGGTTGTTGTTCTGTTAGTCATTTCATCCGGTTTGATGTGAGTAGTTTTTTGAAGTTATGAATTAAATACAATAGTTGTTTCAGGGATAATAGAATTCTGCTGATTAATTTTCTGTGAAAGAAAAACTTCCTTTTTTTGTTATAAAGATATTTAGTTGAATTAGCATAATCATATTTAATGAATTTTTAACAAACAAAACAAAAAGATACAGATCATTCACTATCTTCTTCCTTTTTTTTCAAAGTCAAATGTTAGATCTTCAAATTTTATACTTTATATTATCTTATATAATCTTGTAATTAAGTCCATAATTTATGTTCATCAATTAAAGAATACCCTTCTTTTAACATAACATGAAGTTTCCTTTTACAAAAGATTAGTGTAACTTATTAGAATAAATTATAAAATATTAACTAATTTTTCTTTTCAATAAATATGTATAATTTGATTAAAAAAAAATGTGGTTATACTAAAAAACTTTTTATGTTAAATGGCCAAATCGCTGATATTTTTATAGATTTTTATAAATTTTTGATGGAACTGTAAAAAAGGTTTTGTTATACTCTGATCTCTCTGTTTCAGTTAAATTTTAATATGAAAAATAGATGTATTATTATTTTATTTTACTATAAAAATTAATAAAATTATAATATCAGTTAAACTTGGCCAATGTATTTTTGTTTCATATAAAATAACCATATTTTCATACCAGAAAACAATTTTATTTCCAGGGTTTCAAGGTGATAAATATAAGAGAATGCCTCAGTTTCAATTTCAAAGACAGAGAGAAATTATCAACTGCTTGGCAATTTTTTTTATGACAAACCAAGAACAACTCAGAAAAATAGTTTTTAATTTAAAAAAAAATTTATATTTGTAACATCAAAATAAACCTCTCATTTAAATCTTGACCAAATTAACAAATTATGTAATGATGTGCAATTTCATACAGTATAATACTGATGAATTTCAAAAATCTTCCAAATTTTGTAACATTTGTGTTAGAACTCATATATATTCTAAAAATAGAATATATAAGTACTGTACATTGTCCTGATATTGGCCTATTAATAGTTTGTCTAATCTTTAAAATTGTTTGCTGTTATAAAAATAAGGTTTCTTTTCATGTCATTCATCAAATCCAGATTTTGTGAGTAGTTTTTTGAATATTTTTGTTCCTCAGAGAATTGATGCTGAAGAGATGTTAAAAATTTTGCTTATTACAAAACTTCTGAATCTGATAATATTTAATCATATTTTAAAGGATTTTTGACATGGAAAAGGACTTACATTTATGTCACTAATGACAAAGTAACAGAACTGATAGGGAATATGTAAAATAAAAAGACAAAAAGTTTCAAGGAAAAAGAATACAATTACTGTTGTAGAAAGATGACCTGTTACGAATAAGAAATGAATTTGTAGAATCAATAGGTTTATAAAATAATAAATATTTAGAGGCTTGGAGAACAGTGGATTGGCCCACATGGTTCATTGAAGTGGCCACCAAGATTTCATGATCTTAAGCCTATGGATTTTTTTGTGGGGATATTTTAAAAATTGTGTATACAAAATGCCAATATTGGATGCTGAAGATCTTGAAAAGTAAATTATGAGGTCTATCAAACACTCACTCCAAGCATAATTTTCTATATTCAACAATTGAATGAATATATGTGTTGCTTGTTAATAGAGACAAGTTTGAGTGATTTCTTGGAAGTGTTTATGTTTTGATGTAGAACTTGATACAGTGATTTTTTTGTGTATGTGTTTGTGATCTGGAAAATATGTTTTATTCTTTTTCATTTATTCTAATACATTTTCAACACATTTTGATTTCACTAAAATGAAACCAAAATATTTTCTTCATTAACGGCTTGCTTATCACAAAATAATTAAAGGTTGCGAAGCAAACACACAGCAGCTCAGCATTACAGGAAAACCAAATTTACACAGCCCTTCAAATTTTTGGGAGTATGTGGTACACCCTCTTTATCAATTTTTAACTGAAAAAAATGTGGAATGTATTAACTTTGACCTACTCTACAACTTTACAATTGGAACTGTAGTTCTATGTGCAGTAGAAACTGAGATAAATTTTACTCCCTCTTTTTTTGAGAGATAGGGAAAAGTCATTGATGTATTAATGAGTAGTCCATTTTCAATAATGTATGAAAGCAAGCATTTTTTACATAAATATGACAGTTATTTCTGTGCTATTAGTCTGGTGTGGCTGTCCGCCATTTTGTATATACATAGTTATAGTATTTAGATTTAAGATTCTTTGTTCTTTTCCTTCCTTCTTCTTCATACTAATGACCATTTCCGGTCACCCGATCAGGAGCGGGAATTTCGTGGGTCCTGATTGGTGGCTTACCGACGTGAACAGGGCGCGGCCCTGCCCGTGGGGTGAGAAGGACACTTTTTGCCTGAACGACGAGGAGAGCGGGTTAAGAAAATATCGTCGGGACAATAAGTCAGTCTTAAGACAAAGAACCAGCCCAATGTACGAAGTTGAGCGTAGTCCACAGAGAAGAGAAAGGGACTAGCGACTTGATTGATGAGAGATAGTAGTCTACGAATACTAAGTGCCAAATTTCATACTAGGAATGTTTAATATACCAAAGTCGGCCGAGAAAACCCCCGCATTTATCGGAAACCACCATCAGGACCTCCTGTGATAACTACCGGTAGACCTTTTCTTTCTTTCCTTCCTTTTCCTCTTATTAGTATAGTATTAGATTAAGTTAGATATAAGTTAATTATAAGTTAGTGATTAGACCCTATATCGTGGTAATTAAAATTTTTGTAAGATTCCGGACGAGAGTAGAGACCTGTTGTATATTCGTGTATTTGTCTCTGACGGGCATTTCTGTATACATGTTAATCCCTGTTGTAATAAATTATTGTTTAAGTGATATTCGTTGGAACTATTTGTCTCGTACATCTTTAACTCTCACACTATCCATCCCTTGCCACTTTTTGAGACATGCAGTTTTGGACAAAGGGAGATGTTGGCTGTGTGAGTGCAATTAATAGAAGACAAGAACATTTACTTCTACTTCAAACAGCTCATATCTTCCTACAACAAAGTCACAACAGTCCCTCAAGTCAGCTCCCACTAGCTTTCATTCTTTGTCACCATTATCATTCTTCAACTACAACAATTTTTTAAATAATTTTATGTAAATACGTATTTGTTACATATATATACTTTATTTGTATTTTATCTCTCATGTAACTCATTTTGCTTTACTATATGTATTATTACTGTACATTGTACGCAGAGTGGTATTTATATTTGTATTTTTATTTCAACAATATTTTAGATTCCAACTTTAGTATTAATAGGATGTAAATGCCTTATATAAATATGCATTGTGTGTTTTACCATTATATGTATTATGTGCTCATCATCTGTAAATAATGTGTAAATTTTTGCGTGTCTCTATATTTTTCACATGTATCCTCTCTTTTTACAATTATTTCTTATTGTACGTGGTTTTCTGCACTTATGTTTTATGTAATTTACCTATGTACCCTCTACCAATCTATATTGTATCTGCTACCTGGTAGTTCTATGTGGAATCAGGTGGCATCTTTTGTGCCAAATAAAATAGAAGAAGAAGTTTAAGTTTAGGATCAGTATGTTATCACTTAATTAAAGAGGTGGAAAATAAGTGAGGGAAATCAGAAATATCTTTAGAAACAGGCCCATCAGTGGCCAAGCAGTTCTGTTCCCTGAATACTGGGAGTTCAGTCGTGGGTTCACACCTCACCAGGACAGGCTGCCACATGGAGTTTTCTGGGTTTTCTCCATGTCTGTAATGCCTGAATAGGGGCCAGTTATCTTTAAAAAGACTGCTGGAAGGACTCCCTCCTAGGCAGATTGCCCAAGTGTTGTGTTGCCATAATTTAATAAAACAAACAATCCTTAGAAACAATAAAATGAAATATAACATATCAGTTTTCAGATCATAAAAACATAATTTAATAAACAAAAATTAAATGTATATTACTGTGACATTGTTGTGATACTGTGCTGCAAGTTTTAATCATATTTTAATTTTAAAAAATCATGTTATTTCTGGTTCAGATGGGAAGTTTGTGTATAATTAATCGGAACCTCTAAGCTTTNTTCTGATGATGTCTTGCTTTGTTTCAATTGAAATCACCTTTCTGTTTTTTTAGAAGCCATGATTTGCACAACACTTGAATAAATTAAATACCCTGCACTGAGGTGATGTATGTAATAAACAAGGGAGCAAGCCGAATCCCAACGGGAGCTCTGTACTTCAGATATAACAATAATATATTCTAATAATACTAATGTGTTATAAAAATAGCCGATTGTCATTGGCAACGGCAAAAGAGTGGAAAAATCATTCACACTTGTTCGCAGAAAGACCGTTGTTCGCCTCACATAACTGCCAAACGGAAAGTCCATTGTTCGCAGCCAGTCCATTGCTTGAGTCATGTAATGGCCAAACAGAGGTCTGTTGTTCACAGTGTCTGTTATTCGAGGCATACATTATACGAGGCACCACTGTATTTTAAGACAAAGTCCACCCAAATAGGGACCATCATTTATTAATTTCATGTTGCAGAGTGTACAATCTCAGTGACCAACCTTCCTTTCTACTAGCTGCCAAAATACTAAAAAGTCCTTTAAAAAGATATAAAAATTTTCCCAATTAAAAATATAAGGATTTTCTGAAAAAGGAAC